ATTAAAAATAATAATATAGTATAATTAATAAATTTACAGATATGTATACAAATACAAAATATAATTTCAACATTGTTTTTAAGAGACTTTTTAGAGACTAATTATTTAGATCATGTGTGTATATATTTATAAATTATAGAATAATCGAACGAAAATGAAAGAAGGAATATTTTAAAATCATACATAATATTTTTTAACTGATTTATTTATTAAATAACACGTCCATGATTGGTAATTGTGTTGATCTTACAATACGCTAGTTATTTTAATTTTTCATAGCCTATTTATCATTCTGTTCATATTTATTAATAACTGTACGGTAGCACCTTTTGAGACTTTTCAAAACAACAGAAAAAATATAGTTTAAAAGTTGAGAGGGAGGGGGAGGAAGGATTAGGAATGTGTGTAACTTCACATGTTTCAAACTATATATTCTGCATTTTGTATTAAAAATGCAAGTATTATGATACTCCCTAAGATCATAAGAAAAAAAAATTTCTTTGGAATCAGAACTTGGAAAGGCTTATCAATTATTGCTCATATGTGTATAATATACAATTAAATATTTCTGACGATCATTCCCGCGTGTTGTGCTAGAAAATTAGAGTACTGTGATATTCTTTGAAATCCCTCTCTCTCTCTCTCTCTCACACACACATACAGACACACACACAAAAACACACCCATACTACAGAAATAAAATAATTTATCATACGATATGATGTATGTATATATAGATATATACTACACGGCTAAACAAAAGCTAAATTTATGTAAGCTTAATGGAGTATAATAAGTTTAATATATTGAACTATTAAATTCCATTATTCCATTTCTTGATTTCATCTGCTTGTTCATCTTCGCGTCGAACATCGCGAAAGAGCGTCATTAAACTCAACTTTGACAATTCGATCTAATCTAAATTGCGGAGCAGTCTGCGGAAGAAATTAATGAGTGGCAGCAATTTGTCATTATCGCGTATAAACGCAAACCATGATTATCTCGTTTTATCTATAAAACTTTAGCTTTACCTGTTTGCATTCAGACAGGAAGTATGCAAAATGATCGGCACCGCAACATACGCCGCGTTTCGTGCAAAATTATTCGAGAATTGAGAGAACAAAATTCGCATTTTGCGGGATCCCGACGTGTCTCGAATGCTCGACCGACAAGGTTGTGGATGCATTATGTAAATGTAAATAATTCTGTCATTTGTAACAATTCTGACTCGCTTCTGACTCATTCAGTATTTTCGGTCTCCATTTTAGTAACAGCGTGTTAAAAAGAAAGATATATATTCGTAGAAATCTATAAATTTTAAATTTAATGAATAAAATATTCAAGGGAAATGGAAAAATAAAGGATATGAAGGAATAGCAAAGGATCTACATATCTAAGATCCGATTAAATTATTATATTATATGGATTATTGAACAATTTTTATATTGATATTAGTTTTACATAGAATTTAAAGCGAAGAATTTTTCGTTTTCATTTCCCATTCACATTGTCGATCGAGAAATAAGTACCGGAATACGGTGAGGATTGGCGCGAGGTATGGATTCATTTGCATATTCCTGCTCCCCAGACAATCGAATCCAATTATGACGCTTCAGTGACCACGATTGCAGGATTGCTTCTGGCATAAACGCATGATCTGAATCCGGTTTTCAGAACTATAGCGCATGCAAACGTAAAGAATATTACTTCATGTTTGAAAATCCGTATTCAGTTATGTTGGACAATTCTTACAAATATATATTATATATTGCCAGATATATATTTTCATATGGCCATTAAAAGTAAAATATAAGCGCATATTGATATTAAAAGCGCAGCAAAAAATTTAAAAAAATAGCAAATTTTAAAGATTAATTGATATATAATATATAGAATTTATTAGAAAAAAAGAAAAAAAGAGAAGCAAAGAGATGCAAATTTAAAACAGTTTAAAAATTTAAA